CATATATATATATATATATATACATATCTCTCTCTTTATATATAGATACAAATACATATATATATATATATATATATATATATATATATATATATATATATATATATATATATAGCGTTCGTGTCAATTTTTTTTAGCCATTTTCCACTATATATTTTTTTTACCATTTTCTGTCAATTTTCCGTGAGAAATTTTGGTATTTATATTTTTTTCTCCAAAACATTTAATTGCTTGGATTTTTTTAATTTTTTAAATAAAACTTTTTATTTTTTTCATTTTGAGTTTCTTCATTTTTTTTCTTAAATGTCTTCCGATAGTTCAAATATCCTAAGATTATTATTGTTGAGAATTTGAAATAACGGAAGACATTTATGAAAAAAATGAAGAAATTCAAAAAAACAAAACTATAAGGTTTCATTCAAAAAATAAAAAAAAAGTCTAAGTAATTAAATGTTTTGAAGAAAAATATAAAAAAAAAATTGAAGTAAAATTAACCGAAAATGTTAAAAAATATAGTGGAAAATGACTCGAACAAACCCTTATATTTATAGGCTTAGTAAGGGTATTTTCGTCACAATTTGGAAAAAAAATATAACATCAGGGGTGTTTTTATATTTATGTGTAGTACATGGGGTATATGATAAACGATTTGGTACCCAATTATATTTTCGGGGCAATTTGCTATAGGTCCTCCTCTAAGAGATTTTATGTTTATAAATCCAACTAATAAAACTCAATTTTTAGTAAATTTAATATTTTTAATACGTCAAAAATATCCCTAACAATATATGGAAATAAAAATCTCCAAAATAAATATCCCATATTTTTCTCCTTGCAGTTAATTAACCCATTCCAAAATTTCACGTATTATCAATCTCAATTTCCACCACACCCATGAATCGATTTCATCAAATTTCACCGCTTCAAAACATCGATTTCATCAATACCAAACCTAACTAAAAATCGCATTGAGTCTGCCGTTTGCAATCCACAAAATTTCGTTTGTTGTCAACGTTGTTAAATCAGGTTTTTTTTTTTCTTTTCTCGTTTGCTATTTGGAGATCGTTTGTTGTTTGAAGACATCGTCTGTTGTTTCTTCATATGTTGTTTGTGATTTCTACAATGGCTCAAACACAATTTCGTCTCGATACTCATTCAAAAACCCGTTTTTTTTTTTTGAGACAGCGAGCGAACGAGGATGATGAATTCGAATCCCCAAGAAATCAAATATAAATTGCAGGGTTTGTTGAAGTTAGTAGTCTAGTTATTTTTTTTTTAATTGCAGTTTGCACTTTGCGATTCTCTAGTATAATTGAAGTTGTTATTGGTTGTTTGCAGTTCATGTTTGGTCTTAATTGGAGTTCGTATTAGTTGTTTGCAGTTCATGTCTACATTTGTAAGATGAATTGTTGTTTTCATCTCCAATTAATAATTGCTATTAATTTCTTTTAAATTTTACTTCAGCAGTTTTTATTAAGCTATTTTTTTACACTTTGAAGCATGTATGTTGCAAAAGACATTTATTTGCAATTTTAGTTTTCACTTTGAAACTATTTTGTAATGTAATGCTTGTTGTATGTTGACGTTCTTGAGTTGCGAATTATGTTGCTAGTAATTAGGTTTACATTGTACTATAATTCTCATAAAATTGGACTTTAGATTAGTTTTTCTCTTTTTACACATGTTTGCAATCAGTTTTCTATTTGCATTTTTCAGATTATTTTGCAAATCTTATTTGAACTTGCGTATGTTGTTTGTTGTTTGCAATCACAATTTTTTTTTGTTATTTTCCTTAACTTTGCAATTAGTAAGTCGTGGTTAAAGTTTGCAATTTATTTTTTGTAGATTCAAGATTGTACATTATATCCTACCGTGAGAGTGTTTCAACCCATACATGCCTGGGTAAAAAAGAAAGAAGATAATTTTCGGTTAATGCCGCTGACATGAAAAAGTTCCTCGATAGTGCCAGTGGTCAAAAATTATTGTTTAATGCTTTACATTTATTTTTCTCTTTGAAGTTTAATTTATTGTTTGCATCATGATTTATTGTGAAAATATTACACTTTTTAGAGTTTTGTTGCACATCCTGTAATATTGTTATAATTTATTTTTTCTATTTCAAATGGAAATTTGTATTCTTTATTTTTTATTGCAAACATATTTTGTCGTTTTAAATAACTTTGGTAGTTTACAGTTTACGGTTTGCACTTCATTCTTTATCATTTTTCGTGTACAATTTGCCTTCACTGTTTGTATTTGCAGTTTGTAATTAGTGGTTGTTAATGTTAGCAACTATTACATTTGTTGTTTTGTATCGTTGCAGTTTTCTATTTTATGTTGCAAATTTATTATGTTGTTCAAAATTTTTATTTTGTTGTTTGTTCAAGTATAACTAATTAGAAAATGCAAACAAAAAAATGCAATATTATCGAGAACATACAAAATAACAATTAAAATCCAAGACATATGATCTCAAGAAAATTAATAATTGAAAGATTGCTATAAAAATACTTATGTAAAAAATATTAAATATTTTTATAAAGTAATAAATAATTAATTTTCATATTTAGTTGCCTTGAGAGAGAGGGTGAAATACGTGTGTCGGTGTGTGAGAGAGAAGGGATGGGAGAGATGCGTGAAAGTGTGATGGGAGAGAGATGTTTGACCGTATAAAAAGGAGAGAGAGAGTGAGAGATTTGTGGAATTTGTTCCCTTAATTTCTAAAATAACTATTTACATATAAATATTAATTGGGGGCATGTATGTCTATACACTAATAATTTAATTTAATTAGGGCAAATGGCAAAAAGGCCCATCACATGGGACTTAAATGCATTTTAGTCCACAAAAAAAACAGTCTCTCAATTAAGCCCATCCCCATGTCTTTAGTCTAAAATACCCTCAATAATATAATTCTTAACAATTCCACCCATTATGCTCTAACTTCCTTAATATTACACATTGACCCCGGATTTAAACAAATATATCACATTAACCCCCAAAACTTTTTTTTTTTTTTCAGAAAATAATTTTTTTTCTGAAATGTTTTTTTTTCCGGCCAGATTCCGGCGTTGACCGCCGGAGACCGCCGGTCTCCGGCGTTTACTTTTTTTTTTTTTTTTTTTTTTGAATTGTTTTTTCTTAGAAAAAAAATATTTTAATTAATATTACTGTCTTGACTACTAAATTACTGTCTCATACAGTAATATTACTGTTTGGGACAGTAATATTATGAATATTATTTTTCCGAATAGTAATATTATTAATATTATTATCTAAGACAGTTAAATTACTGTTGGAGACAGTAATTTAACATCCAAGACAGTAATATTAATTAAAATATTTTTTTTTGTAAGGACAAAAAAAAAAAAGAGTCAATTAACAGTTAAATTACTGTCTCCGACAGTTAAATAACTGCTGGAGACAGTAATTTAGCAACGAATACAGTAATATTAATTAAAAATATTTTTTTTATGAATAAAAAAGTCAATTAACAGTTAAATTACTGTCTCCGACAGTTAAATAACTGCTGGAGACAGTAATTTAGCAACGAATACAGTAATATTAATTAAAAATATTTTTTTTAAGAATAAAAAAGTCAATTAACAGTTAAATTACTGTCTCCGACAGTTAAATAGCTGCTGGAGACAGTAATTTAGCAACGAATACATTAATATTAATTAAAAATATCTTTTTTAAGAATAAAAAAAGTCAATTAACAGTTAAATTACTGTCTCCGACAGTTAAATAACTGCTGGAGACAGTAATTTAGCAACGAATACAGTAATATTAATTAAAATATTTTTGAAGAAAAAAAAAAAAACAGTCAATTTACAGTTAAATTACTGTCTCCGACAGTTAAATAGCTGCCGGAGACAGTAATTTAGCAGCCAAGACAGTAAAATTAATTAAAATATTTTTTTTAAGAAAAAACAAAATTATAAAAGAAAAAAAAAAAAAATCAACGCCGGAGACCGCCGGTCAACGCCGGAATCTGGCCGGAAAAAAAATATTTCAGAAAAAAAATTTATTTTCTGGAAAAAAAAAAGTTTTGGGGGTTAATGTGATATATTTGTTTAAATCCGGGGTCAATGTGTAATATTTAAGAAGTTAGAGCATAATTGGTGGAATTGATAAGAATTAGGGTTAAAATTGGGGTCAAAAATTGAAATTTGGATTAAAATTGGTTAATTGATAAAATTGGGCTAAATTGGGGTGTAAATCATGAAATTGAAGTTGAATTGGGTTTCAATGAATTGGGGGTAATTTTGGTATATATAAAGGGATTTTCCTTATTTGTAAATAAGTTTGAATGGGGTGGATTTATTTGAAAGACAAAAAAGTTGGATGTCCCTCTTTTAATTAAGTTGGATTTATTTGCCATTACCCCTAATTTAATTGATTAATGACCTACACCTATATTCATCTAATAGATTGGATCTCCACCTATACAAGTGTAGAATAAGGGGTGTCTAGCCAATTTCTCCTATATTTTCATCTAGATTTGGTACCCGATTCAACCGATTTGGTACCCGATTTGATAAACCGATTTGGTACTCGATTCGGGTCGGTTACATATAATTTGGGAAGAGCTCCCCTCCCAAATCCCTAAACACTTTTTTGTATTTCTTTTTCTTTTCAGTTTTCACTTTTCACCCAAATCGATCTCTCAATTTTCTCGTTTCTCCGCCACAAATCGCACCGGCCACCACAGGACCGCCGTGCATCGCGGGTTGCTTCTGAGTCCCCCCACCGGCGGCAAGTAGCAACTGAGATTTCAGATTATAAACTTGCAATTGAAGGTGAATGTGTTGTTACGAGCCGATATATCTGCATATTATGGATGGTGCTCTGTAATCATGTTTTATACACTTCAGTTAGGGTTGTTTGATTGAATTTTAGTTTGAGGGGTAAATATAATTTTACAAATAAGAGGAGAATTTCAGTAATTCAGGCGTATTTCGTGGGTTATTTTTAATGCACCACCAGAATTTTGCTAATTCAATATATTCTGCTTGTTTAATGTGACAGAAATAGTATAATTGAGTTAGGTTTTGATAGTAAAGTGAAGATTGAAGCTTATGTTTGATTTTTTTTTTCTTTTGCAGGTAAACTCATAAGATATTGAAAATGGATGCTCAAGCGAAGAAGAAAGCACTGTTTCGGGCAAAATTGAACGCACAGAAGCAGCAAAAGCAGCGGATTGATTCTCCTCTTGTGAGGTATTGCAACTTTTCGATTCGTTGGACTGAATTTTAGGGTAGTTAAAATATGTAATTAGTGCAGACAGTTGAGATTAGACTATTTGTAGCTAATTAGGTACTGAAAACTTTTGATGCATCATAATCTTAAGTATTAGTGCTGTTTGTTTCATCTGTAGAATCAATTAAGTTGAAGGAATTTCTATTACTTGTTAAAGAGTATTTAGATGTACAAAATTATTATTTGATTTTTTGTGAACTTTTGGTTGCACCCAATTATTTGTCAAATAAGCTGAATCCTTTTGCCAATTGTAAATGCAGGTACAATGAACATGATCAACCTGTATGTAGAATTTGTGATGTCGTCATCAAATCTGATTCACTCTGGCCTGCACACCAAGCTTCTCGAAAACATCATGAGGTTATTCTATTTAGTTACATAAAGAAAAATGTTACAAGTTTTGATTAGGAATTTGTTGAGGAGCTGAAGTGCCAGTTCATTTTTAGTATGTGAAATTTGAGATTTTTAGGCATAGAAACTACACGAGGCTTATAATGTAGTGCCGGCTTGACATCTTAATTTTATGAAAGCAGCATTCATATTGTGTAATGCTGGAACCGGAGAACCTCTTACCTGTGATTTTTCTCCGGCCCGAAGAAAAGGTTCTGTTTCTTAAAATATAAGTCTTTTTTCTCTTAAAAAAACATACTCACTTATGATACGATACTTTTAATTCTTGACCGCTACTTTTAAGTGTTTATGAATAAGAATAAATAAAACTTCTACTTTCCATGTGGGTTCAGTTGTAGGCCAAATGCAAGGGATAATTTTTTTTTAAACCCTCTAGATCCGTACGTGGGACGGAGGGAGTAATAAAACAGCTGCGATGTTGTACCCCTTTTTATTGGGAAGCACGATTGATCTAGGGTCTCTTAGTGCTGAAGAATATTATTTATTATTACTGTCAATTGACTTTTCTTACACTGTCACTTTTTGTTTGTTCAGGCTATTGAAAAGCTCAAATCCAATGCTGCTGCACTCAATCAACCGAACAGTGCCAAGCCTGAGTCTGCTAAAAAAGAGTTGCCGAATCCTAAACCCGAGTCTTCGAGAGAGACGAATGGCAAATTGGAACCTTCTGCATTACCTACACACCAGTCATCTACTCTGCCACCGGATTTTTTTGATAATCACGAGTCAAAGAAGCAGAAAATAGGTAGGAGTCTGTATTTGTGGTTTTCCTTTTAAATTCTGTTTCTGTGCCAAACAGTTGGTAGAGCATGTCATTTGTTTTATTTATCTGATACTGGTAATAATAATATGGCAGGAGTATGGTTAATCCTCTGTGATCTTTATCCATGAAACTTGCATTAGGTTCTTTGACTTCTGTGTTTTAATCTTTTTCATATGCTAAGAAAGAGCTCTGGTCAAATATCTTTTGTCACTGTTTGTGTAAGTATATTTGCCGTCTTGCTTGGTTTAGTATCTTTTATTTGGGTATGCATGGTGTCCGAACTGCAGAAGTTGATTGAAGAATGGATGGATAAAATTGTATGTATACCATACATGACTAGTTGTAGTTTATGATCAAATGACGATATAATTTTTATTGGCATGAAATTGTATCTATAAATGCACTTAAAGTTGGATTAATGATGGACTACAAATTAGACATGTGTAAAATATATATCCAGCCAATGGTCTACCAAAGTCCAAGCATGTGGGTCAAAATTCTAATTGTTATCTTATTTTAATTTCCCCCAAGTAAATTATCTTATGCAATTTTGTTCTTTGTTGATATGGACTCACATTGTAGAGGCATTTGTCTCAGGGACTGACACTGACAGATCATCTACTGGTACATCTTCCCAAATGAGAAATCCCGAAGCTCAGGCTTCAAAAGCAGCTACTGTCAAAGGAGCGCTTCCTCAAGGTTTTTTCGATGACAAAGATGCTGATTTACGTGCACATGGAATTACACCCGTGAAGCCAGATGTCAAGTAAGTTTCCTTTTAATTTTTTTGCTCTCCTTTTGACATACTAATGCATCTCTATGTTCTGGTTTAGCTTATTCTGTGATGATATGGTAGCTTCTTTTTAGAGGAATACGATAATTCACCCAACATTGCAAGCTATATTTACCATCACAGTATTCTTCTTTTCTTTTTGTTAGCTCTGCTGGCTATAAATGCCAGGTGATTTTAGAGTATCGTATTTGTATTATGTAATGACGACAATGTAACGTAGACGTGGCACCACAAGTATTTTAATAGTTGCAGCATATGCAAACTAACGACCAGATTCTTCCAAATATAGAACTTTGTTGAACCCGTTTCTGAAGATTGATGATGAGATATATAGGACTTATCTTTAGTTCTTAGCGGCTTGGTGGAATTCCACTTCCAAGATCTTGTTTTTGTGCGTATTAATTCCATTTGAGAGTTTTCTAATTCGTGAATGCAGTCTAGCAAGTGATATTTACTTGGACAATAATGCAACTATGCTGCTCTTATCAACTTCCCTATATCTTACAATCTTTTAACGAAAAATGTGATTTTTACTGTAATGTTGGAAAATTTAAATCATGTGCGCAGTTCAAATAATAGCGAAGTAAAATTACTTGGACAATAATTCAACTATGCTGCTTTCATCTACTTTCTTTACCTGAATTTCTACGTTGAAGTACGTCATATTTCCTCTCCGTTAAATAATTCAATTTCGTGCTCTCTTTTATATTGTTAATCTTGTTCGTCACTAATTTGGACAGAGATGAATACAAGGAATTTGAAAAGTTAATCCAAGAGGATTTAAAGGAAGTAGATAATCGTTTGGAGGAAGAAGAGGTCAGATATATTCTCCCCATCTTATTACATTGATCAACTGAACGAGCCAATCATGTGGTTTGCACATCGAGCACCTGCGTTACTGACATATTTATTGGTATTAATTTCCACAGTTCGATGCAGCTGAGATGATTGAAGAGGAGGAAACAGTTGAGCAAAAGTAAATTTTTAACGTCCTTTATCACTATCTCAATTTTTTTTTTTTATTATTATTTTTATTTTTATTTTAAGGCCAGCATACGTTGTTCGTAGCTAAAAAATATTACTTTATCTAATATTTAAAAAAAACAGGAGTTATGTAGAGAGAGTGGAAATGTTAAGAAGGAAGAAGCTGGAGCTTAGGGCTTCTAGAACATCTGCTACTGGTTCTAAAGATTCGAGAGTCCTCATACAGAAGGAATCTATCGACAAGGATTCTTCGAGCGACGACGAAGTTGAGGATTTCAAAGTTGATTGGAGAGCGAAGCATCTTTGAACAATTCCTCCGTATTTGCTGGTAATATATTTATTCCATAACAAGTAAAATGGCAATTCCGGTTTTATCGATATCTATTTATTGATTAGAAGAGAATTTTTTTTTGTTTTGTTTTGTTGAAACATTGTTTTCCTTCATTAACTTGTATTGCTTCGGGTCGCAGATTGGACGCTTTTGATGAAGCAAGCTTCGTTGTTGAAATTAGAGCATCGTTCATCGACCGAAGTAAATTGTGCTTTATAAGCCCCCGGGAAAGAGGATCAAAATTGAGCATTAGAGGCTACAAGTTTGCTAGTAGTAGCTCTTACACCTATTTGGTAAGAGGAATATTATAATTCGAGCTTTCATTTTGATAATCCAATATTTCGAGTTTTCATTTTGGAACTCTACGGTGGTTGCGAGATAATGATGATCTTGCCCTAAAAATGATTATTTTTGACTAAGCTGTCCGACGGACTCTTAGCAAAATTTCGAAAATGATTGTCTTAATTTTAAAGGGTATTAGTGTCCAGTAGTGCTTAACAAATTGTCCCAAAACTAAAGGAGATAAATATACATATTATAACTTTTTTTGGGGACTATTGAATGAATAAAATGATATTGGAGCTAAATAATAAACAGAGGTAAGAAGGAGGTTGTAGTAGTTATTTCAGCATCCCACGTGCAAAACATGTGACATTTCCGTCCAAAATAACACCAAAGTCAAATGGCTGACCGAATATAGTTAGTTTGAGGACTAAAATCGCGAGGGAAAAAATATAAGAACTATATAAGGAAGAAAACAAATATGTTCATTTAATCGTACTGTACTTCCGATTCAAAAATCTTGTCCTGAAGGTTTAGATCCGGAAACTTGGATAACAACACGCCCTTTTTCTTGATGCGCAAAGCATTGATGTGAACACAAACCTTATTGTGAATAGTTCAAAGGTAATTTATATCAACAAATGTTACAAAATTGGAACTAGCATTTTTAGCAATTAACTATGATTTTTTTTTTTTCCTTTTCAATAATTTAATGTTGAAACTTGAATTTAATTCTATTTTGAATGAGTTTTTTTACTTCAAAATATTAAATTTTACATGTTTATTATACTTACGATAATAAATACATATTTTGTACTGTTTTTAATAGTTAGTCAAATACGATACGATACGATACTGTATGTAGAGGAAACCGATATATGATATATTTTCGAGCTGATAACATTGCTTTGAATAGATCAAGCGAAAGCGTTGAGGTGATCTCGGCCTTGCTCAAGCTAAGTGCTGATGTCATCACGACCTCGATATGACACCAATGAAAAGATATCTTGGTCCCAACATTTCTATTAAAAAAAATACAATGTTTATTGAATAATAAGTCTGCCTAAATGAATCATAACACAACAATAGCTATTTAAAGATAATAAAATCCTAAAATGCTCTTCTACTAAAAAAAAATAATTACCTACATAAAATAAATTATCATAATCCTATTCTAACAAAAAATGTAAAGAATCAAACTAAATTAAATCCTTACCAAACGTAACAACGATCCTTATATTTTACATCTTCGGTAATTTGGTAGCTATTCCACAAGAGTGGAGTCTAACCAATGCACATTTGTTTGGTTGCAGGTTCGTTCGTCAATAGAAAAAGAAGATTGTCAAAAAAAAAAAAAAGTTCAAAAGAAATACAATAGTTAGGATCACGATTTTTCCCTGTTATTTTTTTAACCATAATTTCCGAACCGAATTGACAACAAAAACGATCAGATATCATATTTAATTTTCGTAATTTATATCCATTTTATTATTTGAAAGAGCCACATACAATACACTAATACACAAACAATTCAAACTGGTAAAGTGGTTTATTTAAAAACTTAGGTAGTTGGGATTAAAAATCAGTTAACTGTTAGTGGTTTACTGGTTTACACATTATGCAGTTATGCTATGCCTCTACAGATTTCCATTACAGGAAAGTGCCTCTTGTTCATATTATTGTCTATTGAATATATATATATATATATATATATATATATATATATATATATATATATATATATATATATTTGTAATTGTTTTTTTTTTTTTTATAGATGGTTACTTTTTTAGTTGACAATTTATATACCAGAAATTAAATAATCTTTTATTTATTTATTTATGAATTGAAAGTGCTTCATATTTAATTAATTGACCATTTTTTTCTTTTTCTTTTTGCCTTTTGGATTTAAATATAATGGGCTTGTTGTTCCTCTACAAAACTGTCAAAACATATGCATTTATATACCCACCCACATTCCAAAAAAAATAAATATATATTTGGTAAAAGCTAGGGAGAATTACACTTTTGATCCCTCATGTTTGGCTTGATTCAACTTTTGGTCAACGTTGTTCAAATGTGAACAAAGTTCACCTTCAAGTTTCAATTTTAAACACTTTTGGTCCCCGACATCACATGCCCTTTAGTAAATAACGGAAAATACTATTTTGGGGCCAAAATTAAAATTTAAAATTTTTTTGGGACCAGAAAGTAATTATAAATTTAAAATATACTACTTATAATTGAAATTTTAATAATAAAAAAAGAAATTAACCATACAAATTATTTTTAATAATTAGAAACTCTCTGACACCATTAAAACTTGAAGGTGAACTTTATTCACTTAAAAACAATGGTGATCAAAAGTGGAATCATACCAAACATGAGGGACCAAAATTGTAATTCTTCCATAAAAGCTATTAGGGGCTTGTTTACTTTATGGTATTAGATTGAAAATTCGATTTCATCTAACCTATTGCCATATTACAATATATTAAAATTTTGAATATATACATATATATTTATATACAGGTCACTCTAAGATTATCTGGCGTGTATTATTACATCAGTGCCTCGTTTGGTTAGGAAGATTAATTATAATTAAGTAAATATTGGACTTGTTTGATATTTGTTATGCCTAATAACTTCCCCGGCCGACTCGGAAATATTATGTTATCATGTTTTATCTTGTCTTTTAAAGGGAATGTTTTTGTTGGACATCTCGAGTCTGATAGAATAATTGAATTTTAATAAATTATTTGATCTTATCTTCACTAATCCTATCTTACCAATCAAACAGGGCATGTATATTGTGAAATTGATGGAGCTAGACATCCATTAATTTTGTCAAACCCTTGTAACTTCACCAATATGCATAAATAAACAACATATTATATAACATAATATTTTTTAAACCAACAAACTATACTTTATATATAACTCTACAATTCATGAATACCTCTATACATACAACTCATACCAAAAAGTGAACTCCCATCAAGATCAATGGATGGGAAAGTTGGCCTAATTAAAGTGGACAATAAATAAAATATATGCTTAATTTCATCTTGATCTCTTTCTTTGGTTAATTAAAACAAAAATATAATAAAATCATAAAAGTAATTAATTAATTCCCATAAACAACTATGTAGAATAGTTTAATTTATATGTAGTTGTAAGGTTTAGGGTTTTAAACAATAACAGTTAGTGGTCTGTACTTTCGTAGATTCCCATTACAAGACATCACAGTCACATTCACAAGTTTCTAATCTTTTTATTTTTATTTATTTTATTTAGTTTTTTTGCATTTGTTAATGATCATATATAAAATTTATTTTATTTTTAGTGTCCTTAAATCTTAACTGACTCTTCAATTATTTTGCAATAAATTGGAGTATTTTCATGACCTAAAAGGGCTAAATCTGGTCGGATCATTAATGAAGTGTTTTTTTTAGGCATCAAAGTGGAATTAGTGGTGAAAAAAGGGATCATTTAGCAATTTGCCATAATATTTTTCATGTTTCTAATTGCTGATTGTCAGCACTTAAAAACAAGATATTTGTAAAACTCAATAATTGATACAATTAGTGTAGTTGGTAAGATTAGTCAAAATTAATTAAAAAAAACAAAAACTTTAATTTAGTGTTTGGGTCGAACAACTTTTTAAATCAACCCACAATTATAGAAAAAAAATAAGATTTTATATATTTCGATTTATCGAAAAATTGTGTATTGAAAATTCCTTAGTCCAATTATTATACAATTGAGTTACCTCATCATAGGATTGTATGCAATATTATTTTGGTTAGTTTTATCTTGGTAACCAAACACGGCCTTACAAATTAAATTTAGTTTTATTCACTCAAAATATAATGTAACGATAATTTTACATTATCACTCGTGCGTTCTTTTATTGGGATCTGTCCAATAATTGTAATATGTGATCATGAGTTGTATTTGAGGAGGCGATGGGGATTTTAGAAACGATCGATTTATAAACAATATATTGATCTCAATCCACTTAAAAAATTAGCTCAACATATGAACTTTTACTCAACATATTTGATCAAGAGAATAAATATATATATTTTTTTTAAATTAAAGGGATGTTTATTTAATTTTCTAAATCAAAGGGGCCTCGCTGTAATTACACTTAACCTTAGAGGAAGAATGTGTAGTTTATCTTAAATTAAAAGTACTTGTGAGAATTATGTATTTTGATTTGGATAAAATTGAACAAAAACTATTTTAGCTTATCTTTGAATTTGAGTCACGATCCTATATCATATATGCATGCACTAATTTAGCTTAAAAGAAATACTATAAGAACTTTATAAGTGAGGTGAAGCTGGCTTCTAATTATTTGATTATTCGAGCATTAACTAATCAAGAACCTAATTAATTAGTTACATTGTACTTATCAAACATGGTCTCAATTTGCACTTGCATTTTGTCCCATTTATCCTTGTAGTTAAACTATGATGGCAAAGGGACTTATTTGCAAAATTCGGGTCGCATTGAGCGGGTGGCCAACGTTAAACGTCACAACATAGATATTTTCAAACATTTCAATTGATAAATAGGTCCATGACGAGAGCACTTAATTAAAAAAAGAATATTTAATTTTTTTGTCTTCCAAATATTTAATTTCAGCTAATAAATTACTTTTTTATTAGGACTTGGGAGTATATAATTTATCTTGAAAAAAATAAAATATTAGCTGAGCAAATCTCCTCCACATGTTCAATCAATCAATCTAGGGTGGGGCGTTAACGTGTTCTCAATAATTTATGAAATATCAATCGTCTATAATCAATTCTTTTGATTTTCAACATTATATTTTATAGGGTAAATTACAACCACCTCCCTGAGGTATGGTCAAATTATAAAAATCCCCCTTTCGTTTGGGTAATTACAATTACCCCTCAACTATAAAATTTAGTGGAATCTTTTAGATTATATAGGATATTATTACTTTTGTACCCGTTTTATCCCATTCGAACTCCACATTTTGAAGCAAGATGATCATAATATGTGTTTTTTGGCTTGTATATATCAGATTGTGATGCATTAAAAACTGTATTTTTACACAAAAACGAGTACAAACTATAGCACATTCCACGAAATCCAGATGATTATGTTGAATTTGGCACCATAAGGGTGGAGGTGTAAGAAAAAAATCATAGTTGAGGAGGTAGATGTAATTATCCAAACAAGAGGGGTTTTTTCGTAAATTGACCATACCTCAGGGGGTTAGTTGTAATTTACCCTATTTTATATTACTTTTAGTGAGGTTCCTTATAACTACGCTTTAGATATTTTATAGCAATTATTTCTCTAATATTTTATTAGGAAAATATACATGTAGTGCAAATGTGTTTGGATACATGCTTAGTTTACTAAAATTTGTACTGTGTAACGAACTGAATTATTCATTTCGGTACACGTTTTTCATCGAATTTACTCGGTTTTTATGAATATTTAAACTAATCAATTCTTGAATTTGGCATTCAAATTTCAATAATTGGCCCTAAAAATAAAATTTGATTATTAATAAAGGCTAATTTGTTAATAATGAAAAAAAATATCAATGTGTAAGTATTTTATATATTGTTATAATCTTAAAGGATTTAAAGTAAAAGATTTTTTTTTAATAAGTATTTCGGTATTCGGTACGGTATACCGGACATCAATTACGTATAGCGTACGGAATACCGGAATAAAAAAAAAATTACCGAATACCGAACCATTTTTTGGGTCGATATTTGGCACGTACCGAATTTTCGATTGTGTACGATTCTGTCGGTTTACCGATCGAGTGAACATCCCTATAAATGCCTTTCGCCCTCATGTTCTGGGCAAGCTGAAACTTAATTAACCTAAAAGTCCGTTAAATGCGACAACCCCAAATTAAAAGGTAATTAGGTTAAAAACCCTAGTAAACTTGCATCTGATATGAAATATCCCTGTAAGAGGGGCTCATTCAAACTTTTATTCTGTAATATTTACTTAATAAAATACATAACACACATACACATAAAATCTCTCTTCTAACTTAATAGTCAGAGCCTCTACATCGGAAAATCCCTCATAGTGTTGCAGGAACGACAACCGACCGAGTTTCCATCGAAGTTGGAGACCGACGCAAGGAGAATCATGTTGACATCAAGGCTTCAAGCTTACATCATCAAATTGACGAAAAGATCAGTTCGATCACATTTGTTAGATGGGTTTGGCAGCACTTGTCCACGTGGTGGAGGCCCGGGTATGGGCGGCCCACAATCGAATGTCGTGGTGCTTGTGTGTGTTGAATGCACTATAAGGCTAGAGTTTGCACCTTTCCTAACACCAATTGGTTTTAGGACAACTGGTAGCGACTGAGGTTCTACAATATTTATATCAAAACAATTCAATTTTATAACACTATTTTTCATTTCGAATTCAAAAAAATTCAATTTCCGATTTTTTTAGTTGAATTAATATATACATGAGATTTCGACTTTCGAAATATCCCAAATATTTCAATATTTTTTTTTTTCAAAAATTGCACTTATAATATGTCAACACAATAGATAGAGAACATAAACAAAAATTCTTAATTATGTCGATTTCAATCTAAAAAATTCCACCTATGAAGATTAAAAATTTGTTTTCTTTAATTTAATGTCCATTTCCAAAATTTACCAAAACTTTGAATAAAAGTGCTAATTTTATTTGGACCCGTACGTGCAATATACGCAGCAGAATTAACTTATTACAACAAACCATTTTCAACGGTTTATCATACGTACATATATACATTAATAATACATACATCTTGTAATTAACTAGTAACCCATCCTTTTCTTACATATGTACAACTTCTCTCTCTCTCTCTCTCTCTCTTTCTCACACACACACACACATACACACACACACAGCTATACACGCAGATTTGATCTGCAGATATTTTATATATAAAATATATAAATAAAAAAAAGAGTAAAAGCACCTTTCGATATATGGTGGTGCCTATAAATACAAGCCCACCATTTCTCTCTCTCACTCTCAACTCCAGCCATATATATTTTTTTGTTTAATTAATTAATAACCCCATTCTCAACATTAATTTCATTTACACGTGAACCCCTTTTCCCCACCATTTTTCCCTGCCACAACACACACACACACACACACATATATATATATACATCTTAAATTCAATAATTTCAAGAACTTCCCATACACACAGAAAAATTATATACATACAACACACACATACAAATTATACGATCAAAACACTCTTATCGTATTTCTTCAAAAAATCCCATTCTCTTTCAATTAATTTATATTCTTGAGTAAATATAATTAAAAAAAAAAAAAAGGATGATGATGACGTCATCGTTCAGGAGAGATGACGACAGCATTAACGGAGAGGAGGGAAGAAGTGGTAGTATAAATAGCATAATTGACGAGCGAGAGGAATATGAGGTGCAGGATTTGAGGGAACGAATTAACTCGTCCCGAGGTAGCCGGTTGACTCTGATTGAGAACGAGTTGGGTCTTAACCCGACCCGCCGAAAGTTCAGCAGGCAAACCGTTATCGAAGGCTTCAAAGGCTTCTCACAACGCTTCTACATTCATCCCGATAATAGGTACCTACCCTTTCTTTATTTAATTTAATTCGAATCACTAAAGGGTCTATTTGTGTCTTTTTGTGAAGTTCTGGGGTTTTATGAATATTTTCTTAAAGTATGGGGGTTTATTTTGCAAAGTTATTATTTACAAGATAGCCCCCAGATTTTCCCGCCAATCATGTTGGTGGAACGTGGCCACAAATTAATTTTGTGTATAATACTAATTTTGATACGTCCACTCCCTTAATTATATGACTTTCACTACATTTAAATTTTCTTTTGCTGACTTGTTGAACATAAAATAATATTAAATTAATGACGACGTTATGACACGTGGAACCTTAAATAGTGTTTTAGATCTCCTTGGACATATCTTGATTTGGATAGATTTTGGTGTTTTTGGAAGATTCCAAAATGATTCTGTCGCATTGTTTTTTTGTCCGATTTTCGAAATTCTGATTTTTTTGGCGATACATAAAACAACGTATCAAGAAATGTTACCCTAGTGGGAGTTGATAAATACAGTTTTAATTTTACGAATATTATTTCAATTTTTAAATTTTTTATCACTCTAATGTTTAAAAAAATCCGATTCTTTGTTAATCCGAGTCCAAAACGTACGTGAAATAACTGATTTCACGTCCAAAATGGGTGCGAAAAAATGTGTATCGTTTTTGTTTTTGTTTTCGTTTTTGTTTTAGTTAATTAGTTATTATTTAATTATTAATGAATACTCAATAATAACTATTTAATTTTTAATATTTAATTAATTATTAATTGGTTAATAATTAATAATAAAATAATTGTTAATTAATAGTTATTTAGTAATTTGCTAATAATAATTGATTAATAATTTTTAAGTAATTGTTGAATAGTTAATAATTGGCTAACAATTTGCTAATAATTCGTTGATAGTTAATGAACAATTGATTAGTATTTTTTGGGTAAATTACAACCACCCCTGAGAAATGGCCGAATTACAAAACCCCCCCTCTTGTTTGAGTAATTACACAACCACCCCCTCGACTATAAATCTTCTTACACGTCCACCCTTGCAGTTTCAAATTTAGTGGAATCTTCGAGATTATATGGAATATTATCACTTTTTTACCCGTTTTATCCCATTCGAACTCTACATTTTGAAGTAAGATGATCATAATATGTTTTTTTTGGCTTGTATAGATTAGATTCTGGTGCATCAGAAACTGTATTTTTTCACAAAACAAGATTATGTTGAATTTAACACCATAAGGGTGGATGTGTAAGAAAAAATCATAGTTGAAGGGGTAGATGTAATTATCCAACCAAGAGGGATTTTTTTTGTAAATTGACCATACCTCAGGAGTGGTTGTAATTTACCCTATTTTTTTTTATTTTTTAATGTAAAAAAAATATTAGATTCATTTATATGTATTAAAAACAAAAAAAAAAAAAAACCAAAAAAAAAAAGAAGAGATAAAGAGGGACACTATCTTTTACTTCAATAAAGTTTCTATGTTTTATATTTTCTTTCGAGTTAAAATCTTCTATGTATCCCTTCAATAGATTTTTGCCAAATTTGTGCTTATAAATAAGTTGAGTGAACTGATTTTAATCATTTGAGGCAATTAATTTATGTTATTTGTCTCTCAAAATATGTGTACTATACTATCTATATATATGAGCTGGATTCTTTTATCTCTATATATATATATAATATATATATTTTCTTGCACTATGGGTAAGCAAAATTGGCACATGCATCACATGGAGTGTAAATACAATAATAGTACTCGCACCGCCAGATGATTAATGAACAAAAATCAGGGTATGGGCTTTTTCTAGGGATACCCGGTTTTTTATATTGGGTGAATTTAAATCGTAGATCTACATATAATCACGCACACATCCATGTATATGTGTGCTTTGCGAATAATTATTTAATCAAATTTACGGTTTAAATCCACCCGATATAAATAACCAGGTGTAGCATCTAACTCCTCTTTTTCTAGAGACTGAAGTGTTTTTGTATTATTAATTATATATCATCGTACACAAAGTTTAACTATTAGGTTTTTTTTTTTCCTTTCATGTTTTTACTATATGTTAGGTATACACATCATGAGTATAATAGATACATGTGGCTTTTGAACTTGTGGCTTAAAAATAAAAACCTCATTTTACGGGACAGAGACGCATGCAGCTGCATTTGCAAACACCGAAAAACTGATTCTGAGAAGAGAAAAAAAAACTTAGTATATTTTCAAAAACTTTTGCATGCAAACACTGCGTTAGAATTCTCGGGGTGCGAAACAGTATCGTAAAGAAGTGACTGTGATCGTAAGAATTTAAATTTTGGGAGTTAATAACTAGCTAAAAGTTAGATCTCTATGTGACCCTTAACACATGACAAAGAAAGTACACAACCTTTGCCAAGTACATTTTTTTTAATATTTTTAGGGCCAAATCAAATATTACATGTTTCATAATTAACTAAATTTAAATACAAATATTGTTGTGATTGATAATCATCCTTTAATTGCATGCAGTTGGTACAAGGCATGGGAGAAATTTATACTAATATGGGCAATTTATTCATCATTCTTTACTCCAATGGAGTTTGGATTCTTCAGAGGACTACCCAAAAACCTCTTTGTTTTAGACATTGTTGGTCAAATGGCTTTCCTCATTGACATTATATTGCAATTCTTTGTGCCTTATAGAGATAGCCATTCTTACAAAATGGTCTACAATCATAACTTGATCGCCCTTCGGTACGTATACTTTTTCGTTAATTTTTTTTTTGTCCGTAGTCGTTATACGATCTATATCCGAAACTGCAGCATGTGAGCGTGCACTATTTTTGCACGTGTTTTTATGTGTATCATTCTTTCGCAGGTATCTTAAAGCTCATTTTTTTACGGATCTTCTTGGATGTATGCCTTGGGATGTTATCTACAAGGTTTGTGACTTTTAAGGCGTATTATGATTTGGTTTTGGGCATTTACAAATACAGTTTTATTTCTGAAATGTTAAATATCGTTTCAAGTTTACTAATTATGTTGTTTTGACTTCGAACGTGATTTTGACCATCTTTTAGTCTGATTTTGACAAAATTCAAACATAGAAACTGTAGTCATTTGAGTTAGCTTTCTAATCCAACTTGAATCAACTAGATTGAATGTCCACTGACAAAGTTATGCATTAATAAGTTATATTTGGAATTTTAGATAACTCGAAACATCAATATTGTTGGCAGTGTTCAATGAAATATCGATATTCTTACTCAAGTGACATTGAATCTTGGTGACTCAAATTGGATTAGAAAGCTAACCGAAATAATTCTAAATTTCATGCTTTTAGTTTTGCCCGTTTCAGACTCGAAAACGGTCAAATTTACGTTTAAAGTCGAAATAGTATTATTAAAACTGAAATGACATTTCTTTTCTTTCTCTCAAATTAAGTTGTTTTAAAGTGTTATCTCAAAAGGATATTGATTATAGTTAAAGAACTTTTATAATTAATTTGCATTGAACATTTATGCTCTTGTTATTTGGATCTAAATCTACTTTATGAGGACATGGTTAGGCAAAACATGTTGTCACTATGGTAATTGTCACTAATAGGGTGTCACTAATTGTTTATTGTGACCATAAAAAATGATTAAGTGCCAAGAAAAAAACATGTTGTCACTTAATATATATATGCATTTAGTGACAACTTTTGATATTATTACAATTCGTGTGTCACTAAAGCCATTTTTTCTTGTAGTGTTCTTTTAATGCAATTTTATGTTTTTTGCATGCCTTGATCCACAATTATTCGAATAATTGCATAACATCAACGTGTTTAATTAATTAGGCCGTTGGACGAAAAGAAGAGGTGAGATATCTTCTGTGGATTAGGTTAACTCGGGTCCGAAAAGTTACCGGATTCTTCCAAGTGATGGAAAGGGACATTAGAATCAATTATCTCTTCACGAGAATCGTCAAACTTATTGCAGTGGAACTCTACTGCACACACACGGCAGCTTGTATTTTCTACTATTTAGCTACTACCATCCCCGAAGAGAAGGAAGGGTACACGTGGATCGGGAGTTTGAAGCTCGGTGATTATAGTTATTCTCACTTTAGAGAAATTGATATTTGGAAGCGATACACAACTTCATTGTATTTCGCCATTGTCACTATGGCAACTGTCGGTGAGTTTTCGTAACTTTTACGAATCAAGAATCTTCGCATGCCGCATGCTTTATATTTAGTTTAATGTGCATGTGTACATGTGGAATAATTTTATGCTTTAATTTTCCTTATTGCCATCCTAGTTTTCGTTTTCGATTTTCATCAATATGCTTTTGATTAATTTCGAATCTTATATAGTTGATTATTGTTAGGCCTTGTTTGGTTATCACTATTAAGTCATATTGACTAAATAATAGGATTTAGTAACATTTTTGTTGTCAAGATTGAAATTAACTGAAGCCCGCCATAAAAGCTGAAGCCCGCAATTAGCTGGTTACTATCCAATAAAATTAGTAGTTGACGTACCACTTGCGATTAATTTTGTAGGTACTGACTATATAGCAAAAATCCGATTTTGACCATTTTTACATAAATGCTTTACATGCAAATTAGTAGAAGTTGCCCACGTAAGCTACAAATGTTGCAAATTTTCTCGTCGTACGAAATTAATATGGATATTGTCGAAATTAATATGGATACATTTGATCATGCATACAGGTTATGGAGACATACATGCAGTGAATCTGAGAGAAATGATATTCATTATGATCTACGTATCGTTCGATATGATCCTCGGTGCATATCTGATCGGTAACATGACAGCTTTGATGGTGAAAGGATCGAAAACCGAACGATACAGAGACAAAATGACCGATCTAATTAAATATATGAACCGAAACAAACTCGGAAGAGACCTTCGTAGCCAAATAAAAGGGCACTTGCGTTTGCAATACGAGAGCAGCTACACCGATGCTGCTGTTCTTCAAGATATCCCGATTTCAATCCGGGCCAAGGTTATAATATAATCTAAAAAAACATCATTAGATGCAATATGCACAAGTTGATATAATAATACTATATTGAATTTAAATACATATATATGTGGATAATTGATTATTTACAAATTTATTTACTTTCTTGAATGCAGATATCACAAACTCTATACATGTCGTATGTAACGAATGCTCCTCTTTTCAAAGATTGTTCCTCCGAATTCATCAACCAAATCGTAAGTATTTCGAGTACCTTTTTTCACTTGCAAGAGAGAATTGTTTTTTTTTTTATATATATATTATTATTATTTTTTAACGAGCTTATCGTTTTGTCCACAGGTAACTAGGGTCCACGAGGAATTTTTTTTACCCGGTGAAGTAATAATGGAGCAAGGAAATGTTGTAGATCAACTCTATTTTGTTTGCCATGGTCTTCTGGTAAGTCTATATATATATATATATATATATATTAATATATATATATATATATATATATATATATATATATATAAGAGGTTGGTATAGCTGCAGATGGATCAGAAGAAATTAAGTCGCTTCTTGAGCCGAACAGCTTATTCGGAGAAATATCGATTCTTTGCAATATTCCTCAACCGTATACCGTTCGTGTTTGTGAACTATGTAGACTTCTTCGGATTGATAAACAGTCGTTTTCCAATATTCTCGAAATATATTTCCACGATGGCCGTAGAGTCTTGAATAACTTGTTGGAGGTAAATCATATATATTTGGAGCATTGCATTTTAATTTACATCTTCAAAGTTATTTAAATTTTTTAATTTTATGTATCTATAAATTAATAAAATGATTTGTAATATTTTTAATTAATTAATTAGGAGAAAGAGTCTAATATTCGAGTGAAGCAAGTGGAGTCGGATATAACGTTCCATATCGGGAAACAAGAGGCGGAGCTTGCTTTGAGAGTGAATAGTGCGGCTTATTACGGCGATTTGTATCAACTGAAAACCCTAATCCGATCCGGAGCCGATCCTAACAAGAAAGATTACGATGGGAGATCTGCTTTGGTATGTATTTTTTGATTAACTCCTTATAATTTATTTTAAATATTTTATGGAAACTCATAAAAACAAAAAAACAAAATTCAAAATCAGCTACTGTAGGGGTGAAAATAGGATGGAACTGATCGGAATTACCATTTTCGGGAAATTTACAATGTTTTTCGAAAGTACAAAATAATTGCAATTCTAATTCCAAAATTTTCGGAATCTAAAAATCCATTCTAATTCCAAAAGCTATTAAAATAACAAGGGGAGTTTTTTTTAACAACTACATAAATACAAAGATGAGAAATGCAATAAACCCCTAAGATATATATAATGTTTGAAGAAAATAGCAGATATGCATATTCTGATTCTAGATATTAGCTAGAAATAGTAAGACGATAAGGCATCGATATTGAATGCGGGTAACATGTTTGAATGTTTTGTCCGCATACAGCATCTTTCCGCGTCGAAAGGATACGAAGACATTACTCATTTCCTCGTACAAGAAGGTGTAGACATAAATGCCCAAGGTAAATCAATTAATTCTCGAAAAATTCATCATTATATATATAAAAGTAAAAAACGTGACAAAATTCTAATAAGTGGGAAAACAGATAATTTTGGTAATACACCATTGCACGAGGCAATCAAGAGCGGGCACGATAGAGTTGCAGCGTTGCTCGCGAAAGAAGGAGCCTTGTTGAAGATTAATAATGCCGGTACATTCTTGTGCTCAATTGTTTCGAGGGGAGATTCGGATTTTCTTCGAAGGGTTTTATCCAACGGGCTCGATCCAAACTCCAAAGACTACGATCACCGGACCCCACTTCATATATCCGCCTCTCAAGGATTGTATTTAATGGCCAAATTGCTCTTGGAAGCAGGAGCTAGTGTTTTCTCCAAGGACAGGTAAAATTAAATTCCCTTTTAGTTGAAGATATATATATATATATATATATATATATATATATATATATATATATATATATATATATATAGTTATCTTCTTGAGAATTAGTAAGATAACTTGAAATAAATTCGCATTCGTACAGTTTTATTTTTCTTCTAATAATTAAGGAACTACAACCAACCATACACGTGCACTTGGTAACCTCCACGTACGCTCATGCATTAAGCATTATAGGTTTTTTTTTGGTATACAAAGTTGTACCTCGGTTATAATATATATAATTGAAATGTTGAATGTCGTTTTAATTTTATTAATACTATTTTGACTTTGAACGTGATTTTGACCCTTTTCTATTCCGATTTTGGCTAAATTCAAAACACGAAAATTGTAGTCCTTTGAATTAACGTTCTAATCCAGCTTGAATAAGTTAGATTGGATATTGAGTCACAAAATTATGCATGAATGAGTTCAATTTTGAATTTGATATAACTCAATAAATCAAAGTTGTGGGCAACATTCATTAATTCATGCATTTGTTCTCACTCGACATCCAATCTTGGTCATTCAAGTTGTGTTAGAAAATTTAACTCAAAAGAACTACAAATTTTATTCTTTGAGTTTTGCTAAATTCAGCCTAAAAATGGTTAAAATATATCATGTTTAAAGTCGAAACGATATTTTTTAAACTGAAACGACATTTATCACATCTCCATTATGTAAAATTAAATATGTTTTGTATTTGCTAATTAATTAATTAATTAATATTTTTATTTCATATTATCAGTCAATTTAGAGTTTCAATAATGCGTTCGTTGCCTTTTTCTTTCTCTACTTTGCGCTCATCTTATTTAATGGACGTGGAATAGTTATTAAATAATAAGAAAATGGGTATTTTGGTCTATTTTTGGTGAAATTTTCTATAAAATCTATGCATGAGATTTTAATTATTAGATTTTTTAATACTTGTGCCGAAACCGTAAAAAATACAGATAATATAAAACGGAGGGAATATAATTTATTAATTTTTCAGATGGGGAAACACTCCAATGGATGAAGGCATAACATGTGGAAACAAAAATATGATCAAGCTTCTTGAAGAAGCAAAGATAGCTCAACTATCTGAACTTCAAGATAGCTCTCAAGAGATTACTACAGGTATTTAATTAAAATCCACTATTTACACGTATTCCAAATTCCCATTATGTTAAAATATATTTTAATTCGAGTAATTTTTATGATGTATAATAGATAAAATTCATCGAAAGAAATGCACCGTGTTTCCGTTTCATCCATGGAATCAAAAGGAGGGTCGAAGAAACGGGGTCGTTATGTGGGTCCCTCACACTATTGAAGAGCTTATAAAATCAGCATCGGATCAACTCGAAACTCCTGAAGAAGATGGATCGTGCGTTTTATCGGAAGATGGAGGTAAAATTATCGAGGTGGATATGATTACGGATGGTCAAAAATTGTATTTGATTAGTGGAAAAGATTGAATTAATCATCTCATGCAAAATTGAGGAGAAACTCTACTTGTACACATTTGGCTTTGATCATTCTTGAATTGAGCTGAGTATCATCATCAATGTATATATCCCATTTTTTTTCTCTAATCAGAAGTCACCAAGTTACCAAATTCGATAATTTTTCTCTGAATTAAGTATCAATTTTAAGGAGGATGCCGTCGAGTCGAAAATTAATACATGATTCGGTTCAAGTTATAAGTCTAATAAGCCAATGATCTAAAAACAATTCTGAAAAATATTGTGAATATAAGGGTAAATGTGATATATTTGTTAAAATTGAGGGTCAATGTGTAATATTTGTTAAGTTAGGATTTAATTGATAAAATTGATGTAAATTATATTATGAGGGGTATTTTCGATAAAAGGACACCGGGATGAACTTTTTTGCGGAACTATTTTTGGTCTTAATATATATAATATATATAGATGAATGTAAGTCTTAGCCTGTATTTTGAGATTAATCATAAGCGATCTATTAAGATCATATTTATTAAATAGCTAAATTAGTTTAATAATCAAAATCAGATTGTATTACAATATCCCCCAAATTATCTCTAACAATCATAAGCGCACATGCACTCACTTGCAACATCAGGATCTCTCACACAATACCCTTCTTGATTTAAACCTAAAAAACTAATGTTGCACTTAATCTTGCAATCATCTATACTTTGGCATATTCCCAAACCTCTTATGCATTTTTTGGTTTTTATTTCTTCTCTAATTGCACCATGACTTTCACCATTTGTTCCAACACTTTCTCCCATCTCCATAACTGCAATAAAATTCAAAATATCATTTAAACATAAATACATATGAAAATAAATAAACAAAATTGAACAATGGAGAGAACGAATTTGTACGAGACCATTGACGAGTCAAAGAATTTATTACATGGTAGGCTTAAATTGAGAAATAAAGCAGTAGAAGTGTAACCTGAAACTGAAACGAGGGTGAAGAGAATGAAGAATGTAGCTGTAATGCTTGCCATTTTGTCGTTCTATATAAAAATAAAATATGTTTTAGTTTTCGATGTTTCTGGCGATTTTAGATGAACCAACTCCTCTTTTTATAATTGAAATTGGGAACATTTATTCATGATGTGACTATAAATACTTTAGGATATACTAACTAAATCATATTCATTAAAGAAGTTAAATTAGAATCTTAGTAATCATATTGATACCATTTTTGTGGTTTATAATCGGATATTCTGGAATTATTAAAACATTCTGAAAATTGTGGAGAAGATTTTAAAGTTTGAACCTGTTTCTTAACATTTTCATAACCAATTTATTACCCTCAAGCAACTCCGAGGGAGTTATGAAATGAGGTATCAAATGTTATTAACCTCCGATCCATTTGATTACATAAATTTCCAATGGAAGATATTATAGCAATTCCAATGGTAAATATAAAATAAGTTCTTGTTGAGTTTGGGCTCAAATAATTTGATGGGTCCAAAGCCCATTTCTTCTAATTTGTTCACCACCAAATTGAGAGCCCAGCTTAAATGAGAGTCCATTTTTGTGGAAGGATCTGGAGAAACTGATCACATCCGTTGGATGTTTCTCATGTATCCTGACCCTTGATTCTCCATTTAAATAGTTTTCTTCTCTCTCCTTTTTTCTCTTTTACCTGTTTGATTCTCCATTTAAGGAATTTATTTTTTTCCCTTTTTTCTTTCTATATAATATTGAAAATTATGATTTAAAAAAAAACATTCCGGTCGTAGTGATCTGCAGACACCCGTAGTTTCGTTTTTGTCAAATAACACAGCAGATTTTAAAAGATACTATGGTATGCTATGGTACGCTATGGTATACTATGGTATACTGTGATATACTATTCCGAACTTTATCATTCACCAACTCCCAACCGCCGCCAAACCCGACAAATTTCAGCCGCCACCAAACCCTAGTCGCCGACCAAATTAAACCCTAACTATCGACCAAATTAAACCCTAGCCACCATAGTCGTCGACCAAATTAAACCCTAGATGTCGACCAAATTAAAACCTAGCCACCATCCACCGTAGATCTGACGAAATTAAACCTTAGCCATCAACCAAATTAAACCCTAGCCGCTATAGCCGTCGACCAAATTAAAACCTAGCCACTATCCACCGTAGATCTGAAGAAATTAAACCCTAGCCATCGATCAAAATTAAAACCCTAGCCACCATAGCCGTTGACCAAATTAAAACTTAGCCGCCATATCCGCCATCATCCGTCGTAGATCTGACTTCTACCACCATAGTTGTGGTCGCCTCTTGCCTCCATAACCATCCCTTTATTAACTCCGACTCCACCGCCATAATTGCGCCATAGCCATTGCCCCCTCAGCAATGGTGAAAAGTGATGGAGAAGGAGAGTGATAGAACGCGAGAGAGAGAAAAGAGAAGAAGAAAATTAAAAAGAACGAGAGAAGCGGATGAACGCGAGAGAGAGAGAAGGGAAGAAGAAAAATTAAAAAGAACGAGAGAGGCGGAACGCGAGAGCGAGAGAAGAGAGAAGAAAAAATAAAAAAAATTATAAATCTGAGATAAAAGTGTAGAATTTATGGATTTAGGTTGAGGGCAAATTTGGGATTAAAAAAAGTAAAGGATGTGGGTCATATTTATTTTTGTAAAAATGATTTAGTTCAGAAAACAATATTAGGCTTGTATTCCATATCTAATTATGTTTCCAACTAGGGACCTCTAGCATATTAACCCTTTGATTTATCTTCACCTGCTACTTATGTCTTCTTGCTTCTTTGCTCCTTCAACCATAGGTCAAACTCCACCGTAGATGGCAGTCTTTGGCTCAGTGGTAGTCCCTTCACCGGTGACCTTTGACTTGAGCTTCTATTTAATGAAAAGACGTTTGAAAGAATTTATGGTCCCGAATTCGTATTATACAGAGATGTTATCTAAAATGTTATGACACTTGAGACAACATGCAGCGGAAATATAACTATTAAAAGACAATGCTCAGAATTAAAAATGTTCACAAGTAAAGACTTGTGAACTTGCCCTTTACAGGACGGAAAAATATATTAAAATCAGTATTCCAAGAATACAAACAGAAGAGTGCGAAAACTTCTTCCTTATGAGTGAATCTTTTTCAAGATCACTCTTACAACCAAATCTAGATACTAAAAGAAAGATATCAAAAATTCTAGATTTCAAAGAATGTACTTATAAATAGTACGTACAACAGATCCTAGAAAACACACTAAAATTCTCGAGATTAAAACTTCAGCTCTCTATTTTGTTTTCTCGAAATCTGTATCTATCTTGAGTCTTGAGTTTGGTATTTATAGACTTGCTAAGCTTCCACTCTTCAGCCCATGATCTGCAAGAAAACCAACCACAAGAGCACTCAAGATAATGGGTTAGTGGGTTAGTTAGGAAGTAAAAATAAATCCCATAATTAAATCCACTAAGCACTACTTAACCCTACTAAGCCCACTAACTAAGATTTAGTTTAGAAGTTAAGAAAAGTTAAAAACACATTGTGAATTTAATTCACGTGTTTCAAACTCCCCCTTTTTAACTTTCTGATCAAAACTAAATCTTAGTCAAAGACTCCCCCTGAGATATTGCTTGAACTCCCCCTGAATTTGATACCATTTGAAAAAACATAGAAACAATAAATTAAAATCAAATTCAGCAAGATAGTTCAATCAAAAGAAATAATCAAAGTGCAGTCCTAAACAAAAGTTCAGAGGGAAAAATAAACAAAACACAAGCAAAAATATTGTTCATGAAAAACAATCTAAAGTAAAATATCCAAAGTCTCCAAGGTCTCCTCAGTTTCGGCTGCTGCTCCTCCTCCATCACTAGATCCACTGCTTTCTTCTTGAGCTTCCCCCTCTTTCTTTGCTTCCTCTTCATTGACTCCTTGCTCTCTGCCTCTAGCATCCAAAGGATGAGATGTTCCTGCTTCAGTTTCATGACCTTTTTCTCCCCCTTTTTGATCAGAAAGGGCCTTCTGAATCATCTCCACCATGGACTGATGATAGGTAATCTGAGCTAGAGAATGAGTAAGCTGCTGCAATAGAAGATCTCTAGGAACAGACACAAGAAGGTTAGAAGTGTTGTCAACATGAGGTGCAACACCCTCAGTACCAATGTTATTTTGACCTGATTCAGTTGAGAGAAAATCATCTCCATTCCAAGGAAGATCTTGAACATGAGGAGCCCTCAGAAAGTTTTGAGACACAGTGATCATGCCTTGTGGGGTGTGAAGATATTCTGAGTCATCTTGGCCCAAATTTTGAGAGAGTAAGATGGAATAGATGAGAGAAGGATAGGGGAGGTGAGTAGAAGGTGAAATTTTCTGGGCAAGATGACCAATAGTATCAAAGAACAGTTTGCCAAAATCCACTGGTAAACCCATCCCCAATTTGTACATGAGTACAGCATGAGGCTTAGTTACCACAGAGACATTTTTGGATGGAATCCAATTAGCCACTGTGAGTCTAAACAGGACAGAGTAGAAAGCAGTGAGTTGAGAGACTTGAAATTTTCTTGGGTGTGCAGGCCAATTTCTTAAACGGTTTCCAGAAATAACTTTGCAAATCTCAGTGAAATCACCATAATTATCCTCATCAATCACAGTAGGAGTTTGTAAATGAGAGTTGATAACTTTGGGAGAAAAAGAATAAATGGCATTGCGCACAAAGACTTTGCCAAAGTTTGGGGAATTTTTCTTTAAAAAAGAAGTTTGCAAATTGGCATAAAACTCTTTCACAACCAAGGGATCATAAGAGCAGGCAATCTCAACTAGGTTAAGGATTTTTCTTTGGTGAAGAAAAGCTGTTATCCTATACCTATCAAATTCTTCCTTAGAAATTTTCTTTTCCTCAATGAAATGACAATTCATGACTTGAGGACTCAACAGTGAATCAGACTCAAAATAGAAATTTGGACTGAAGGCATTTGTTACCTCAAAAGGGGTTGACAAGTTCTTCCCATCCAGGTCTGGTTCTTCTTCTTCTGAGGAAGCATCATCTTCTGAATCTTCAAGCTCATCAGGGACATATGCTGGTTCAGGTGATGCAGCACGTGGGGCAACACCTTCTTCCTGCTGAGAAGAG